GACCTCCGCGGCCGCGACCTGATCCCGCGGCCGCGACTTTTTGCTGCTGAAATTTGGGACCTGGCTGTTTTTGTTCGCCGCGGCCGCGGCGAAGAAAATCCCGCGGCCGCGGAGACCAAAATCTGCACTGCAACATCTTACGATTTTTGCTCGTTCGGGTTCGTTTTAACTCGGAATTGAGTTCCGTTTTTTCCTACGTGTCGCTAACGAACCCCTCTATCCAATGGTGTCAGCTTCCCCACAAGATTCTCGAAAACCGGTTCTCCTGAAGCTCTTGACCATCACACTAGAGACGTTCGCATGCGACTTCGCGCGGCTTCATGCTTTGGCTCCGTCCGGATTCATCCGAACTCGAAATCTAATTCCGCTTTTTCCTATGTGTATCCAACAAATCCATCTACACAACCATGATTGTCCGGTCTATGTTGAGATAAATCGACTCCTCACGAGACTTTCGACCTGCACACCAAAAACAAGAAGAAAAAGGAGAAAAACACACGAAAAACACAAAACACTAATAAAACACAAAACAGAATAAAAACTCACGAAAGGACCTAAAACGGGGGAAAAAGATTGATAAAACAATAACGAAAAATACAACAAAAATGGGACAAACACCGAACTACCCGATCGTACTATTCGGGTGCTCGAATTGCCCAATTCTGTTAGCCACGTTGTCCTATCCACGTGCCCCTCTTATCCTGATTATATTTGTACTTATCCCTTATATGGTGTGTTCACACTTAGGAATGAGCACGCGTCGGTTCACTTCAGAGATCCAAAAATCTCCAGAACCGAATCGAACTTTGGAGATTCAAACCTAATATGGTTCTATTAGGTCGGTTTGGTATGGATTGGAGATTTTTATTAAAAAAAATAAAAAGAATATTTTTTAGTTTAGAAAAAGAGTGATAAATATCTTTTAGTTGCAAAATATCACTAATTCAAAATATAATTTAATTTAGAAGATTTCTATGTGAATCGTTTATATGCCAGAAGATCCGCAAGTGATAAGACGTACTCATGAACAATAACCAATTTGAAGATAGTTACTTCTTAAATAAGGATTACCTACAGATAAATATTCTCTTCATATGCATATAGTGCATATAAAGTATGTTTCTGAAAAACGAGGATATTTAATCTTATTAAGTTATAATTTGTTAATTTTACTAATGGAATAATCGGTATATCCATTCTTAATCTAATATCATGGTAAAAATATCTATCAATTTATTTTTATGGAAAATATATCATCTTTAAATAAATAATTATCTCCAAACTTTGTAAAATATTTACTTCATAAAAACCGGTTTCCAAAAATATGATATTTAAATTTGATTAAGATATAATTAATAAGTTTCTTAATAAAATATTTAACACTTTGGTTACCATATTTTGTGATAGAAAATGTATATTAATTTAATTTTCTTTTCAAAAAATTGATTTGAAAATGAGATTTTAGATATAATGCCCCATATGCAATACGAAAATAAAATAATTTTTTTCATTTATTAAATTTTAGTAACTTACAGCAGTGGAGGCTTATTTGCAATTCATTTTTAAATATAATTTACGATATTTTATAGACATAGACATAATAGATATGGATTTTATTTGCGATTATATTTTAAATACAATTACGTACAAAGATGAAAAGAAAGCATAAGATAAAATATTATGTGTATATTGATTTTATGAATTGAAATCGACACTTGTTATGTTCATCGGTTCGATACAGTTATTTTCGGTTCAGTTCTTGGTACGAATATTTTATGAATCTCCAGAACTGTACCAAAAAAAATTTCGGTACGATTAGGTTCGGAGATAGTCAAACAGCGAATAATTTTCGATTCGGGATGGATTTGATTCGATTGTCATAACGATTAGGTAATCTCCACGTCCCGCGATCAGCTCTATTCACACTAGACTACTTCATTATGTGGCTACTCTATGCATAATTGTGTTATTAGCTCAATTTCCTTTGAACTAGTTCGTTCTGACCTTCAACGAGTAAATTTGCCTCTTAGGTCCACTCAACTTGCTGGCTCTAATTCAAGTTTTCACCAAGCTATCCGAGAGTTTTAGCTTGACCTGTTGCAAGGGTGCTTGACCTATGAGGTCATTATTGACCAGGTGCTTTCACGACCTCTTATCTCCATTGACCTGTTAGTTCACTCGATCCGATCGAACTATTCTTAAAGCATCTTCAATGCATTGGGTCTAGTCTTACCTATGTGGCAAGTAAATAAACTCAAGTCTTAGATGACATGGATAAAACTATATAAAATTAATAAAATTCACTCCAATGCAAAGAGACTAGGTCTCTACTTTGGTCTAAAATAGACTTAAGGGGAGACCGGGTCTCTTTTTCTGGCTGCCACGTCAGCAGAACCCAATTTACTTTTATTTACATTAGAGAATATATTTTTTTGGATTGGATTTATTTCCTATATGGCATATAATTTTTTGGGATTGAACCCAAAACATTGTGGATGCTTTTAAGTCATGACCTAATATGTTTGTCTGATCTCCCATGTCACTATGGAATGAAAAAGTTGAAATGAGCGTTGACTAGTCATTTGGAAGTAACCATTTTTAATAAATTATTTCATTTTATTTACTTAAATAATTTATAAATTTTACAGTAATAATATCCTATTACCTATACATACTTGTGTACCGAAGGCCCGAAAGATCATACTTTCAAATCTACGCACCAAGAATTTCCAGATCTGCGTACAAACATTCATCTGAATTTGAGCAAAGTGATCTCGATATCTTTTTCTTCTTCAACTCTAATAATTGAGCAGAGATGTTCGTTCAAAGCTCCCAATTTCTCGTCTCCCTTCTGTGAATTTGGCTTTTATTTGCCTGATAAGATATTGGGTTCTGCTGGTAAACTTCAAGGCTCAATCATTACACATTTTTTTCCGTAAGCTATAAATAAATCTCCCTTTTGCTATATATTGCGCCCTATCTATCGTTGACGGTTTCATCTGAATGATAAATGTTATGTGGATTAGATGAATGTTCAATAAAATTTTCTGTTGAGTGTTTTTTCTTCACCTTTGTGCATCAGTTAATTTAAACTTTTGCACATTGATGGGAAAATACAAGTCTCTTTTGTCCTTATATATTTTGGTTTCTTCACTTTTCTCTTATCCAGAATTTTTTGTTCCATTTTTTCATGTGAAATTCTTTTAGGATGGTTGGTTTTCAACTTTTTGTGCTGCACTTGTGGTCTAGAAATTTCGCTGAGAATCTGTTCATCTAATTCCTTTTAACTTATGGAGTATGTACCTGAACTTGCAATCATTAATTGTTTCTTTTATTTTATTCAAGATTAAATGACTGTACAGTTAGGGAGGTGGTTTGAACACTCGACCAATATCAGAAAAAAAGTTATGCGGCTTTTTTCGATTATGGTTTGCCTTATTTGTTACCTACTTCGTCCCTTTTTTACTATATTAAACATTTTGATCCATTTGTTGAATTAGCATTCGTTTCATGCTTTATTGTATAACTGTAACTGGTGGTGGGTGGAGTACATGAATAATCATTAAGAGTTTGTTTCGTAAAGGAAAATCATACATTGCCAACCTAGTGTACAACTAGGTTGACAACACAAGTGAAAATATCTAAAAAAATAGAAATAAAAAAAATACACAAGTGGATGTTTCCACTTGTGTTGTCAACCTAGTTGTACACCGGCAATGTAGCATTTTCCGATGTAGCTTTGCTTAAAAGCTACCTGCTGAAAGCTTAAGGAATGAGATTCTATGTGACACATCTTCTTAAAATAAGAGCCCTTCTAAGCTATAAACAAATTAGCGAAACAATACTGTAAGAAATAATAGCTTTTTAAGCTATAAGCTAAATTTAAGCTCTTACCAAACACGCCGTAAGTCTTTAGGGACAAGAATATACTGTTTCAAAAGGATGTCCTATTTTTTCATTATGAACTTTTCACGTGGAAAAGAAATAATTCATGTTTCATGTGATATTTTTGCTGCACTTGTTAATTTTTGGGAAGCAATCTTCATTTTTAGATATTTGGGTAAAAGAAATTTGTACACTAAGAATAAGTAGTTGCAGTGACCTGTCTAATTGAAATGATTTGGGTTTAAAAGACAATTCATTTTGTTTGGATAAGTAAGACTGCCAGGAGAAATTTTGGGATGATTATATGGCAATTGACATATAGGAATCTGGATGAGTTACTTGAAATGTAAATTGGCTGGTGAAGTTGAACAAAGTCATCTAAATCATCTGAAGTTCTTTCAATTGATGAATAAAAACTTGAGGATCAAATCATAGCTTGTTCCGATAAAGTTATTATATCATGAATTTCACATCCTTGTCTGTTATTTTTTGAGTCATTTGAAAGCATTCCTCAAAATCCTATCCCCAAATCTGAATCCTTCCAAATCCAGATGCATCCTTAGCTTGATTTGTGTTTTCTATATATATGTTCCGTTTAAGTTTATTCGTCCTTTTGGTTTGCTCAAAGTGCGATTAAGGTTTTACATAGTTAAAAACGAGAATGACTTGATTATTATTTGAAAAGAGGAAATTGAATCATTTTGCTCTGCTTCTTGAAACTTTACTTTACTGAATAATTTGTTCTTGCATATCTCCTGAATAGTCTGACTCTTTACATGGATTTTCAAGACTGAAGGTTACTCTGCCTATTTTATGCTCTCTCCTCTTAGACACTAATTAGTTGTAACAAAAAGTATATGGAATATGGTACCACAGATCGTATTACTATACTGGAAAACTTGTATCGTGATGATCCCAGTTCATGAATAAGAAGTATAAAAAATTGGAAAAATATGCATATCATTTTACGAGCTGGTCCTAACATGAGAGTGTCTTTATCCTTACTCAAATCTTCTTATTGAAAATTGAAATATAAAATCATATTTGTTATCCCTTCTTTCAGTTAAAAAAAAAAAGGGAAAACATAAAAATACATGCTCTAACTATTGCTCTCTATGCAGGATCCTTTGAACACACCTGTTGAAAATTCATCTCCAGATATACTCCTTTTCCTTTCTCAACAATCATTCTTCTATCCAATGGAACCAACATTAGAAGCCATCAACAGCAATGGGGGTTCAGTTAAAGTCGGGACAACTGGGACAATAAGTGCCCTCATGTCCAAAGAGCTCGACTCTACTAAATCAACAACTTCAAGAACATCCTTGGATGAACCAAGCAGCAACCGTAACACGAACGCTTTAAAAAATCCAAGAAACACCGAAAATACAAAAAGGATGAAAAGCCACAATAGAAGCACTCATCAAATACCGATGCTTACAGCTGACGACATGTCCTTAGACGGGACCCCTATAAGGCCGAAGCCCATGAAGAAGGGCCCGACTAATGTAGTCGAGATAGTCGACATAAAATGCGGTGGATCTGATCGCAAATGGGTTAGCCCCATCACTGACCGCCTGAAGAAGCTTAATTTTTCCAAATTATCCGAAAGCATCGTGTAAAAAGTAAAAAAAACATCTTACAACCTCTTGAGATCGGCTTGCAGGTTCCTGTAAGGGAATGTTTTTTCTTGCTGTTTGCTTTCGGCCACATCTACAGTAGAACAGATTCTCGGCATGCATTTTTTTCCTTTTCTCTTCTTTTTCTTGGGGGCTGTTTCAATGGATTCCGAGTCGTTTAATGACTTGAGCCGGATGAAGTAATCTATTTCTTGCATGACTAGTGATCCAACTGTCCCTTTTGTCCCAATGGTTGCTGGATTATTATTATTATTATTATTGCTGTTATTCTTGGATGCTGGCAGCATTTTTTTGGGAATGCTACTTGGGAAAGAACTGTGTGGTGTTAGGAGAGTGTTTTCCTTACTGGGAGGTTTTTGCTGAATGTGAGGCATGTTTGGGGACTAAATTTCTTTTCTCCCTTTTCTTGATGAATTTGTTGTGCCTTTTTTAAAAAAAAAGTGGCTACTTTCTGTTATTGATAGGTGATGTCACTGGATTCATGTGCATGCAGTTAAGCCTATTTAAGTTGCTGTCACGTCCCGTTGTTTCTCTTTAAGTGTCTGTGTATGCATTTCACTTTGTTTCAATTCTTGGTGGATGGCTTTGGCATTATTAACTTATTACATCCTTTTAGCTGTTCGGGACATGACATGGTTATGATTAATAAAAGGGCAAGGTCCTATTTTTTTTTTCTTTTAAAGATTATAGTATTAAAGCGATTGGTCATAC